TTGTGTGCTGTCTGGTCCTTGGTGGCTGTCCACTGCATTTGCGCCTGGACCTGCATCACCTTTGGGTACACAGATGAGGTATTTAGGCCCTATCCCAGGGATTGTCTAGTCCATCAGTTCTCTCAGGAGCTCCTGTCTCTTCACAGAGGCATGTGGGAACTTTTGGATTGGGGATGGTCACACTATGGCCCTCAGGCAAAGCCTGTTTTTGTAAGTAAAGTGTCATTGAAACATGGCCGTGCCCATGCATTTACACATGAACTATGAACTGTCATGCTCCAACTTCAGTACTGAGCAGCTGTGGTCAAGACTGCCTGGTCCACACTGTCAAAGACCCATTCATTGTCTGGCTCTTTGGAGAAAACATTGTGCCTACTGCTCTGGACCATTGTTGTTTAATAGAACTTCCTGCAAAGATGGAAATGTTGTATGCCTGTGCCTTTCACTACCATAGCCACCAGCACTTGAAATGTGGCTAGACCAAGGAACCAAATTTTAAATTTTATTTAATTCTGATAACTGTAGATTTTAATTTAAATAGCCTATGTGTCTAGTAGATACCACATTGGACAGTGCAGCTGTAGATGCCCTGAACAGGCCTTTCTCTGGCCACTTCCCTTGGCTTCTACATTTTTGCTTCTGGGGCACATGTTCACATTTGAGGTTTTTAACCTAGGATATGCAGTTTTCCTCAGGCCATGAAGAGAAATGTGCGATTTCTGATGTTCTGGATTCTCCCATATCTATCATCTGTTTGCTACTCAGCACCACCCACTGTACCCCAGATTTTGGCACAGGCTACAAAGAGGAAACTGTAACATTCTCTCATAGTCCATTGGTCCTGGGAGAGGAGGAGTTCCGTCTGTTCATGTTTGTCTGGGACTTCCCTTATATTCTTATATTAGGCACTATATTCTTATCTCCCTGCGGTCACATCTGTCCTTTTTCCTTCCCAGGACCACCAGATGGATGAGGTGCAGAGACAGAAAGTGGCTTAACTATAAGGGAAGGTCATCATGCTGACATTCCAAAATACCATTCTGGATAGGACTGCTACATTAACTTGATCTATATGAGTTTATAAGTTTCTCTTGGTCAGATTCATCACCCATTTGTGGAGTACCTAATTCTTCCCAGGCCCTCAGTCCATTATTAGAAAGAACTGAAGCTGCTTTTTTCCTCTTTTCTTTCCTTTTCCCCCACCCCCAAGCTGACATAACTTCACAATCATCCTTTTGAATATGCTTCAGCAGTTTTAGAGGAAATACTTGCAATATAAGCATAGTCTTCCCGTGAATAGTTTACAGTTTTCTGAACTGTCACCTTTTCTGGAAGGCCTTTCTGGATCACCTACTTAGAACCACATCCTTGCCCACCTGTGACTGCACCTCCTATCTTCTTCTCGCTTCACTGTTCTCCACAGCACTTACCATCTGTCAAACCCTGTGATTACCTGATTAACTCATTTCCTGTCTTCCCCTTCAGAATAGAGGCTACGTGAGAGCAGGAACTCTCTGGTTTACAGCTGTATTTGTACTACACCCAATAGTGCCTGACAGAGGAAAGTACACAAAATTTTGAATGAATAAAAACACTGGGATTATCTATCATAGTATAACTTTGATGTTAAAAACAAACAAAAGTCCTTCCCTACCAGGGTGATGATAAAGTCTGAAAGAGATAAAGGCTACATAGAGCATCCATCTTTGCTGGGGATAGTGAGGGCAAATGTTATAAAGAAACATGGACTTCCAGTCAGGATGGAGGTGCAGGTAGACACACTTCGCCTCCTTGCACAACTGTAGAAAGAATTACAACCAGATCTCAAAACAAATAACACCCAGACTGTCAAAAGATTGAGCTGATCGGAGTCCGACAACCAAGGACTTAAAGGAGCCACGTTCATCCAGACAGGTAAGAGAGCTGAGTTGTGGAGGCAGGGCAGAGAGACAGTGGGACACCAACAAGCAGCAGCAGTGGCAGCAGAATGGACAGTCTTACATTCATGTGTGGTAGATAAAAATTGGGGGGGATACCCTAGGAGCAAGAGATCATGGCCCCAGGCCAGACTGCACAGCCCAGGATTCCAGCACTGGGAAGATAAACCCCCATTACATCTGGCTGTAAAAACAAGTTGGTGTTAGGGCAATGAAAGAAACTGCTGGTTATTTGCTGATTAAAGGGCCCACATGAACTTAGAACATACGCAAACCCCAGGGGAGCAGCTGGAGGAGTGCTGATAGTATACAGGAAGTGGGTGAAGTGACTGGAAACAGGGTGAACACCAGGTGGCTCTTCAGAGGCCAGGCAGTGGCATTGTCCTCTCTCCAGCCCCCTCCCCCACAAGTGGAGCCATGGAGCAGTGAAGCAAAGTGCCCCACCCTGGCATTTACCTAAGGCTCTGCCCCACAAAATTTACAAGTGCCTTTGCTACAAAGGCCATGCTACTAAGACAGGAAGTAAAAGCAGCTCTACCTGATACACAGAAGCAAAACAAGGAGGCTGCCAAATTGAGGAGGCAAAGAAATATGGCCCTAATGAAAGAACAAAACCAAACCCCAGAAAAAGAACTAAACAAAATAGAGATAGCCAATCTATCACATACAGAGTTCAAAATATTGGTGATCAGGATGCTCAGATGACTCAATGAGTATGGCCACAAAATAAAGGAAGAAATGAAGGATACACTAAGTGAAATAAAAATCTACAGGCAACCAACAGTGAAAGGAAGGAAGCTGGGATTCAAATCAATGATTTGGAACAAAAGGAGGCAATAAACATTCAACCAGAACAGAATGAAGAAACAAGAACTCAAAAAAATGAGGAGAGGTGTAGGAACCTCTGGGACAACTTTAAACATGCCAATACCCAAATCACAGGGGTGCCAGAAGGAGAAGAGGAAAAGCAAGAAATTGTAAAGTTATTTGAAAAAATAATGAAAGAAAAATTCCTTCATTTGACAAAGGAAATAGGCATACAAGTCCAGGAAGCATGGAGAGTCCAAAACAAGTTGGACCCAAAGAGTAATATGCCAAGACACATCATAATTAAAGTGCCAAAGGTTAAAGATAAAGAGATGATGTTAAAAGAAGCAGCAAGAGAAAAGCAGAGAGTTACTTACCTACAAAGGTGTTTCCATTAAGAAACGCCTAATTTCTCAAAAGACACTTTGCAGAAAACAAGGGACTGGCAAAAAGTATTCAAAGTGATGAAAAGCAAGGATTCACAACCAAGATTATTCTATCCAGCAAAGCTATCATTTAGAATGGAAGGGTAGATAAAGTGCTTCTCAGACAAGGTAAAGCTAAAGGAATTCATCATCACCAAGGCATTATTACATGAAATGTTAAAGGGACTTATTTAAGAAAAAGAAGATCAAAACTATGAACAATAAAATGACAACAAACTCACAACTACCAACAACTGAATCAAAAACAAAAAACAAAAAACCTAAGCAAACAACCAGAACAGGAACAGAATCATAAGTATGGAGAGCATTTTGGAGGGTCATGAGCTAGGGTAGGGTCAGAAGGGGAATAAGGGAGAAATGGTGCAAGGATTAAGAAGCATAAGTGGTAGGTACAAAATAGACAGGAGGATGTTAAGAACAGTACAAGAAAGGGAGAAGCCAAAGAACTTATACATACCACCCGTGGACAGGAACTAAAGAGGGTATTGCAGGAGGGAAGAGGGTATTGGGTGGGGGAGTTAAAAGGGGAAAGTAGGGACAACTGTAATAGCATAATCAATAAACTATACCTTTTAAAAATGAAATATGCCCTGGCTGGCATAGCTCAGTGGATTGAACGCGGGCTGCGAACCAAAGTGTTGCAGGTTCGATTCCCAGTCAGGGTACATGTCTGGGTTGCAGGCCATGACCCCCAGCAACCGCACATTGATGTTTCTCTCTCTCTCTCTTTTTCCCTCCCTTCCCTCTCCAAAAATAAATAAATAAAATCTTTTAAAAAAATGAAATATGGACTCCTTCCTGCATCATAGATTAAAAAACTAAAACTTCCAGAAGTGAAATGATGACCTATTATTGGAAGAGAAGATATGTAAACCCACACATCCTGTTGTCTGAATTCCAAGTTATTATCATACCCATTCTTTGTTTGGTTATAAATAGTATAATTCATATTAATTTCTGAAATTCCTTTATTTTCAGAAATTAAGTTTAATTAAAGTTTAATTAAAATTTTAATACTTATAAACTTCTGGAGATATCCTGCATTTTTTAATAGGGTGGTTAGGTTGTGGAAATTTCTTAAGTTTCTCTTTGAAATTAACTGGAATGTTTTTAAAATTATGTTTCACCTTAACAGTTTTAAGCTGCATTGTATCTCAAATTAGGCTTCTTTATTAAAAACCAAATGAGTGCTAGCAAATAAAATTTCTGAAGATTCATTTTAAATGAAATGTATAGAGAAGTATATCATATACCACACATATTCTTTATTAGAAAGGCATTACTACTATCATCATTATCAGCAATCCTGAGAAAACTTTTCATAAAGATTTTTTTCCCTCACCTTGCCAAGAGTGTGTAATTATTTAAAATTTGGAAATCACCTACCATTTAGTTTGATGAAAATAGTATAGATTCCTCATTCTGGTAAAGTGATAGGAACCTCTATAATATCATCACATGGAAAGTAATGGCTTTGACAATAAAGGAGACAGATAAAATAGGAATCTGTGGAATTATTTTTGTTGTAGTAATTTGTCATAGATTGTGAAGTGCTGATTTGGTTTTAAAAGGTTCTGGATGGGATTTTAAATGAGGGTGTACTTAGTATCATGGTACTTAACCTGGGGAGGAATGAGCTTTCACAAGCTCCTGGCTATTTTCCCGCCATAGAGAATTACCTGAACACATTTCTTCCAGCAATCTCCTGATTTTATGTAGATAAGAAAAGTCTGTGCAATACAAACAGCTCAAATCCAGTGCAAATTAATATTAAAGATAGCTTTATTAATATTAATAGCTTTATTATTACCTCTAATCTGTATTTTGTTTGAATCTGACAGAGATGACATAAGTAGATTGTTTAAGGATGACCTTTTATTTCTCAAAGCCTCGGTTTTCTCATCTGTGAAATGAAACAGATAGGTGGTCAGGGATCATAGATTCCAATGATCACAGAGACCTGGCATGTACTTGTGTGAAGACTACCGTAGGGACCAAGCTAACAGGGAGTTACTGAAGACTATGGGAAACCTGAATGTGTATGGCCTTTCTTCAAGCATCTAGATTCAAAATTTTAAAACTTTTTGCTGTCCATAGGGCCTGGGTTTGACCATCAGACCTTTGGCTGGCTGCCTCTGGAGTGAGTGATTGGTAAAGTACAAGAAGTCATGTTCCATGAAACTATAATCTTTTCTTTTAGGAAATGGCTTTTGCTGTCAGTCTGTGCAAGTGACTACCTTTTCTGCTTGCTCTATGAAAACAGAGCTGGGCCCTTTAGATAGTTTTCCCATGCCGGCTGGCACAAGGGAAGCTATGTTAATAAGTGGTGCTGGAGAGACATTGCAGGAGGAGGTTTGCTTCCTGATGCCCAGAGCCCTCTTGGTGGGCTCCTGCAGTGGGGCAGCCTCTCCCCTGTCCGGCTCCTATAGTGTCTGTGACTCCTCAAGCTTCTGTTCCTGCACTGCAGACAGCTTCTCCACAGTGCAGTGACTCCCTCAGTGCCCAGCTCTGCACTGTGGGTGATTTCTCAAGCATCTGGTTCCTGCAGCATGACCACCTCTCCAGTGTCCAGCACCTGCGGGGTGTCGTGCTTCTCCGGCACCCAGCTCCTACGTAGCGGGCGACTTCTCCCACATCTCTCTGCTTAGTGCATATAACTTCTCTAGCGCCGGGCTCCTGCAGTGCTCAGTGGTCAGCAGCTGCCCTGGAAGCCGTCTGGCGCTCTTATAGCAAAACACCTGTGGCAAGACACCTCCCTGTGAACAGCTTTCCCTGATACCCTAGAGAGGATTTCCAGCAAGTTCCACTGCTATGGCACCACAGGGACTTCTGTGGCATCCTGTGAGCTCTAACAAGCTCTGGACCTCAGCTTTGGCTGGAGGGGCTCTTTGCAGGGTGCTCTGTCTGAGCCGTCAGTGTAGTGGCTGATCTCATATCTGCTATTTTATATTCTTTCTAGCCAATCTCTTGTTACCCTAATCTATTTCTATAGTTTACGGTTCTTTATATTAAACTGTCCCTTGTTCAAGTGACTGTGTGGTTTCTGTCTCATGAATGGACCCAAACCTGAGCTATCCTGGAGCTCTCAGCAGCTCTCCCATTCGCATTGGTGCCATTCACACAGGACACCCCACCCTGGTCCAGATAAGATTTCCCTACCTGTCCCTACCTAGAAATCAGACATCCTTACAATCCATGCTCAAGTTTCTTGCCTTGAGTAAGGAATCCAACACATTTAATAGATACCTGAGAACAAGAAAAGTTACATGGTTTCCTTATGGTCACACAGCCAGTTAATTGTGGAACTGGGACTAGAACCCTAGTCTCCTGATTCGCAATCTGGTGCTCCTGCCTCTCTGCCACACTCATGTTATTCACCAAAAATATTAATTAAACAACTATTTCCATATGGTCCTATAAGGTACTCAAATTATAAAATTTCATCCTAGATATGCTTCTCAGGTAGAGGAAACAGGATTTGAAAAACAATGGGAATTTAGCATCAGAGAGACCTGGGCCACTCACTGGAGGGTCCTGGGGCAAAGGGTATAACATCACTGTGAAATGAAAATATCTACATTACAAGGTGGTTGCAAAGAGGAAACAAGATTGCACCCTGAATCACCTATCATCATTAGATGCAATTAGAGGCAAACCAATAAAAAGGTAATTAAATCATGTGGAATGCATTTCATTCCACTCAATTATTTGCCTACTTGCACATTTCTCCTGCATCTATTTTGTTTTATTTTTAGAATTATAAAAGGTCATGATTTTATTTACACTAGTACAGTTACATGATGTTACACTAAGATAAAATTAGCAATACTACACAAGACTTTAAGAATGAGGGTCCTTTTTATTTTTTTTTCCTTAGTTTTATGGGGGTATAATTGACAAATAAAAATTGTACCTTTTTAAGGTATATAGCTCAATGTTTTGATATGCATATATATTGTGAAATAATCACATACTCAAGTGAATTAACATATCCCTCATCTCACATAATTACTGTTTTCTTTCTATCTTTTTGTATGTGCATGTGATGAGAACACTTAAGATTTCCCCTCATAGCAAATTTCAAGGACACAATGCAATGTTGTTAACTGTGGTGGCATTGCTGTCCATTGAATCTCCAGAACTTACTCGTCTTGTATAACTGAAACTTCATCCCTTTGACCAGCAACTCCCCATTTCTCAACCCCCTTTCCTGGTAACCACCATTCTACTCTCTGCTTCTGAGTTTAACTCTTTTAGAATCTACATAGATGCGTATTCCATTTAGCTTAATTCCCTTTAATTTCTTCTATGCTGTCACAAATGGCAGGATTTCCTTCTTTTTTTTAAGGCTGAATAATATTGAGCCTTAATATTATTCACACCCCTTTTTTTATCTAGCACTTTTGAAATTCTCACTCAAGGATATGTTTTCATTGATTTTAGAGAGAGAGGAAGGGAGAGAGAGAGAGAGAAACATTGACTGGTTGCCTCCTGGAAGCACCTCGACAGGGGGATTGAACCCGCAGCCTAGGTATGTCCCCTGACTGGGAATCAATCCCACAACCTTTTGGTGTCTGGACCGATGCTTCAACCACCCAAGCTACCGGGCCAGGGCCCACTTTATTTTATTCAATTATCTGTCACCAGACATTTTGGTTGTTTGCATTTCTAGGCCATTGTGAATAATGCGTCAATGAATGTGGGAGTACAGATCTCTCTTCCAAATCCTGATTTTTATTTCCTTTGAATATATATGCAGAATCTCATTTTTTTAAGGAAAGGAATTACAAAAAGGTTTTCCAATGTTTTGTCCCAGGACTGTGACTGTGTGTACTCTCCAGTGACAAGTGCGCACCTAGCAGAGAAAGGCCCAATGAATTAGAATGTGTCAGAGCCATTGAGAGAAGGATGAGCTACATGCTGCCTGATTCATTGTTCCTGGGCATAATCAGTGTGATAAGTGGAAAACTAACTGCATTCAGCAAAATGCATCACGGGAATCGCTTTCCTGTTTGCCAGGCACTGTCTGCACAGAGACATCCAGGACGATCAGTGTAATTACCTTCTGTGTTTGAAGTCTGGCTCTGGGGCAGAGCCTCGCTCAGACACAGCACAGACACATAAACAAACACACCTGCCTTAGCTCCGCAGCTCTCCTGGAATCTCCCTTTCAATGCTTTCTGTTTTCACAAAGACGTTTTGATTCCATTTCACTTTTCTTTATTTGCATGGCCCATAATTTTTTAAAAACGTATGTAAAGATAATAAGGTAATAAATGGTATCAAAATATTAATTGCCATCCTTTTTGTTTCCTTTAAACCAGGTATTCAATATATTTCTCACTTTACCTTCCCAACACTCCTGCATGGTCATTACTATTATGTCCACTTTACTAGAAAATAAACTCACAAAAGCAATGTCTGGAAAGATGATGAGTTTATCCCATGATAAATGGGTCCATTTGGCTTAAAAACAATGATCTTTTCAGTATATCATATTGCCCCTGTAGGTGCAATTTGTTAGTCTACCATTTTGAAACAAAGTAGCATCCATATTCTGTGATTTAATTGTGTTTACTGTTTCTTTCTGCTTCCAGAGCCAAGAGTGTAGCTTTTCTCCACATACAATGAGTTTCCATTTATCCACACACTGATTATACTCAAGGACAATGTATTATTTGGCATATTGTTGGTCTGTTCTTATAAATCTTGATGCTTTACTCTCTTCAAGCATATTAAGGCCATAGTTCTCTTCCTTAGCTAGTTCAACTCAAATCAAAACTTGGCAAACTTTGTGATTTTTTTTTCATCTTTGAAACAGAATTGTGACACTTATACCAAAATCCCAGCCTCTGCATTTTATTCACCAGACTATGCTCTCATTGGTGTGGAAAAGAAGAAGGGATTAAGGCAAAGAAATAGAGGATTCGAATTAGGCTTGGAACATCTTTGCTTTTCATTTCCCTGATCCTGTGTCATTGCAGCAAAGGCTAAAGAGCCAGGTTCTAATGAGCAGAGAGGAAAAATGTCCAGGAACCGGGCTCTTTGTTAGGAAACCATATGTTTAACATTTTTAAAATATTGACTTAAAGACATTTATTTTGAAATATTTTCAAATAAAATTTGATGTTAAATAATGTAGTGTGTCATGCTGTGTCCTATTCTAAATGTTGATTTGCAGTGTTTTTGCATGTCCAATGAGTTAGAGACATAAAAATCAAGCATTACCAGGCACCGACACATTCTCATGAAGTAAATTACACAATATAGCAGAACTGTGTGAAATGATGATATTGGGAAGACATGATCATAAGTCCAAAAATTGCTTGTGTCAATTCTTCAGTACTTAACAGAGATAGATGCCATTTTTAGCATTTAATGAAAACTAAGACTGTTTTAAAGAAAAACTTGAGCCTTCTACCATATTCTTTATACTGAACAATGTTTTCCTTTTGCCTGAGGATCAAGTTAATTCAAAAACTCCTTTTTTAGTTTTTACAGTATTACCTTTGCTTATTAAGCAAAGTATGTGCAAGCAACATGGAATACTAAGTCACATGGATGTCTGTTTCAAAGGAAGCAAAAAGACTGTTGTGTAAAAGTTACACAGGTGTGCTCTCAGGTAGGAAAGGGCTGACCCTGATTTAGAAATGAAGATGTCAGCTCACAAGCTGATGTCATCATGGCCCAGAGAGGATCTACCTTGGAGCAGACCCTCGTGCCAAGGCAGCTGGGTTTTGCAGGATGCACATTCATGGTCCTGGTCTGCTGGAGATGGGGATTGGACCCAAAACCTGTGAAACTGCTCCTCTAGTTATACATACATACACACTAAGTACGTATTGAAAAGTAATAGTTCTACACAATGCAATACACAGATGATGTTTCATAGAATTGTACACTTAAGACCTGCCTAACCTTGTTAAACAATGGCACCCCAATACATTTAATTTTTTTAAAGTAGTAGTTTTTAGCCCTGGCTGGTGTGGTTCAGTGGATTAAGCACTGGCCTGTGAACCAAAAGGTGGCCGGTTCGGTTCCCAGCCAGGGAACATGCCTGGACTGTAGACCAGGTTCCTGGTTGGGGATGTATGACAGGCAACCACACGTTGATGTCTGTCTCCCTCTCTTTCTCCCTCCCTTCCCCTTTCTCTAAAAATAAATAAATTAAATCTTTTAAAAAAATTTGTGTTTTAAAAAAAAGTAATAGTTTTTAAATGTGCCCCAGAAGGATATCCAGGGTGGTGGTTACCTCTGGGGAGAAAGCAAAAGTAATCTAAAAGTAAAGAAGATAGAAAGGGCTTTAATGGATATCCTTTTTCTTAAGTCCATTAAATATGGCAAAACATTAGCAATTGTTAAATTTGTGTGGCAACTACACAGACATCACTACACAGACATCTGTTACAACTTCACATTTCTATATGTTTGAAATATTTTATAATTAAAAGTTTAAAGAATACTGACTAACATAAAACACTCACAGAAGCACCACCATTCATCACAACCAAAATGAAACACAAGTCCAAGGTAAAGTATTCAAAGGAATCACACTTTTGAAAAGTCATGACATTCCCGAGGTAAGGCATTAACAGAAAAGTGAATGTGACCATGTTTATGTACTCAAGGTTTTCTACTTCTTTAGAAAAAAAAATTAATGTTTAACTCAAACTACTGCACTTAGTAGTGTTGTTAGGAGAGTACCATAAAGTACACTGCTCTCTGTCACTTAGCCAAACCCAAATCAGGATCAGTCAACTTTGAAATTTCATGACTTTCTGGGCTTGGAATTCACCACCTTGTTGTTTTTTTTTTTTTTGTTAGAGGTTAGGACTGAGCCTTTCCTGAGTTCCAAGAAAAACAGCCCCTTCTCTCATTTCAGTGTGAGATTTGTCAAACTCACAGAGCTTCTTTCCAACAGATTTCCCAGGATACCTTATGTTCTGATTGGGGCATCTTCATCTGGGGCTTAAAAACAAACGGCTTTAATCTCCAGGGCATGAAGTTAGTGGAATGGGCGACCCGCAGGCAGTTAGGAGACTCTCAGCCCAGTGACTTTATGCTCAGGGGCCCACTCTGGAGCAGACAGCACCAGCTGCAGGCGGGGTATTGGACCAGACCCAGCTCTTTGGGTAAAGTCACAGAGAATGGTAAGCTTCAGATGAGTTAAACTGTCAATTAAAATGTGTTTGTGGAACATTTTAAAGATCATTTTAAATTTTGGCAAGGAGGTGATTTTAAAATCAGCATTAATGGGGTTTTTATCATCTTAATGAGCCTATTTTTCTTCAGCAGCATTCCCATAATACACACCCACTGTGGCTTAGCTATGTACCCTTTTCCCATAAATGAATGAAATCAGCAGAGAAAGGTGTATTGTAGAGACATTCTTCATGTTCCATTCCTACTTCACCTTTAAGATCCAGATCAAATTCCCTTCTGTTGTTGATGCCATTCTCCTTGGACTATTGTCTTCTTTAAAGAACCCCAACATCTGCCCCTGCCAGTATGGCTCACTTGGTTGGGCGCCTTCCCCAAATGGGAAGGTAGCTGGTTTGATTCTAGGTCAGAGCTCCTGCCTAGTCTGGACATGTACAGAAGGCAACCAGTTGATGTTTCTCTCTCACATTGATGTTTCTCCCACACATTGATATTTCACTCTTTCTCTCTCTCTCCCTTTCTCTCTTCTAGAGTAAAAAATCAAAAATCAAAAGATCCCATGTCAGGGCACATACAAGAATCAACCAGTGAGTGCATTGATTGGAATGAGTGAAACAACAAATTGATGGTTCCCTTTACCTCTCTCTAAAAATCAATTTAAAAAATAAAAACAGTGATCAAATATAAAAAGTTTCCATGGCTTTGTAGCTGGGCAAAAGTAGGTCTGAATTCCGGTTTTAGTTAACTCATTATAGGGTCTCAAACACCTTATTTCATCTCTCTGGTTTCTTATTTCCTTATCTGAAAATTGAGAAAATAATAATACTTACCTCACAGGGTTATTGTAAGGATTGAATGCGATAGTCCAGAGCCCATCCTGTTGTTACTGACATTCTTTTTCTTCATGTTCTTTACATAATTTCTTCTTGTCCTTCAGATTTCCATTCCAAGTTGAAAGCAATTAGTTTGAACTTAAAGAAAGGCTTTTTCAGTTCTGGCTAAGATGGAGGTGTAGGTAGAAACCCTTTGCTTCCTTGCAAAACCAAAAGAAGGACAACAACCAATGTAAACTCAATAAACAACCAGAAGTGCCAGAAAATCAAACTACATGAAACTCTGACAACCACGGAATTGAAGAAACAGTCAACCAGACCAACCAACCGGTAAGAACACGAAGTGAGGCTGCGGACCATGTAGGCGGGGTTGACTGAATGAGAAACTGAAACTCAGAGCTGACTGTAGACTATGGCAGTCACCACAGTGGGTGTTCTCCCAGTTTCACACAAGAGTCCATTGGAAAGTAGAACTAGAGACAAGGAGGTGAGCTGCCCATAGGCAGCACTGCAGTGCAGCAAAGAGGGTTGCCCCGCCCTGGTGAATATCTAAGGCCTTGCCCCCTTACAACCTATCAGCTGCCCAAGACAGAGAAATATGGCCCATATGAAAGAACAGAGCAAAACTTCTGAAAGAGAGCTAAATGATGAGGAGATAGGCAACCTATCTGATGGAGAATTTAAAACCCTGGTAATCAAAATGCTCACAGAACTGATTGAACTTGGTCAAAAATGAAAAAACAAATGAAAGATACCCAAAATGAAGTAAAGCAAAATATTCAGGGAACCAACAGTGACATAAATCAGGAAATAAACCAGGACTCAGATCAACAATTTGGAACAAAAGGGAAAAATAAACATCCAACTGGAACAGAATGGAGAAATAAGAATTTGAAAAAATAAAGAGAGACTGAGGAACCTCTGGGATGAAATGTTCCACTACCTGAATTATAGGGGTGCCAGAAGGAGAAGAGGAAAACCAAGAAATTGAAAACTTATTTGAACAAATAATGAAGGAAAACTTCCCCAATCTGGCAAAGGAAATAGACTTTCAGGAAGTCCAGGAAGCTTGGAGAGTGCCAAAGAAGTTAGACCCAAAGAGGAATACACCAAGGCACATCATCATTAAGTTACCCAAGATTAAAGATAAAGAAAGAATCTTAAAAGCAGCAAGAGAAAAGGAGACAGTTACCTACAAAGGGGGCCCATAAGGCTATCTGCTGATTTCTCAAAAGAAATCTTGCAGGCAAGAAGGGGCCGAAAAGAAGTATTCCAAGTCATAAAAGGCAAGGACTACATCCAAGATTACTCTATCCAGCAAAGCTATCATTTAGAATGAAAGGGCAGATAAAGTGCTTCCCAGATAAGGTCAACTTAAAGGAGTTCATAATCACCAAGCCCTTATTATATGAAAGGTTAAAGGGATTTATCTAAGAAAAAGAACATAAAAACTATGAACAGTAAAACGACAACAAACTCACAACTGTCAACAAATGAACCTAAAAAAATCCCAGCAAAAACAAAAACTAAGCAAACAACTAGAACAGGAACAGAATCAGAGAAATGGACATCACATGGAGGGTTTTCAGTGGGGAGGGGGAAGGGAGGAATTGGGTGGAAAAGGTACAGGGAAGAAGAAGCATAACTGTAGGCATAAAATAGATGGGGGGAAATAAAAAATGGTATAGGAAACAGAGAATTCAAAGAACTTATATGTACAACCTGTGGACGTGAACTAAGGGGGTACTTGCTAGAGGGTTGGGGGTACAGGGCAGAGGGATATAAAGAGGGAAACATTGGGAAAACTATAATAGCATAATCAATAAAATATACTTTTTTAAAAAAATTAAGTCTTTTAAATTTTATTTCTTATCACTATTGTTTCAAAATATCATGCTTCCATTACAATAAAATAACATCTCTTGAACTTTTGTTTGATATCCTGTGCCTCACATTTCCTTTTCTCAAACAGAAGAACAGGAAGATTCTAAACATTGAAGTCAAGCATATTCAAAACCACACATTTTTGAGTCTCAAGTGCTCCTGCTGAACAATCCACCTGAGGCACTGCTGGCCTTCCCTGGTTTCTCACTGGTGTTGGTTATGGTCAGCCATTGGGGAACAGTAAATTTCAGCTTTGGCCACACTGTATGGATTGTAATCTCAGTGATAAAGGCCATCAACATGGCCCAGGCAGTTGTAAGTTAAATCCTTTCTGTTTGTAAGTTGCCAGAAAATGACCCTGAAAACAAGAACCATGGTCTTACATCGTCATGCAACTTCGAGGCAGAACAAACTTAGTACATAGCAGGTGCTTAATAATCACTGTGTGATAAGTGTGACATCTCCTATGTGGAGTCTCCATTTACCTCAAAACAGACTATTATGGACTAAATGTGTATGTTATAACTAATGTAACCCTGTATTGGCCTTTATTTTCTAATATAACAGGAATCTCAAAAACTGAGAGCCACAAAGCCCTAACTGAGATGATTTGGTACAACTATGTGGAAGTAAAATCACATAGAGCTACTAGCAGTTCTCTAAATGTGACTTTTCTGTTACCTCTGTGAATTTTATACATTCTTCCCTGGGCCAGGATCACAGGCCTCTCATAGTCACCCACCCCTACCCTCAGCAATATTTTTCAGGACCATATCTTTCCTCAGGATGCAACCCAGGCATCCGGCCCTTCCAGAAGCTCCCTGTATCTGCCAGTCTGGGTTCATGGCCTCTCCTCTGCATTTCATAGCACCTGTCATATTCTTGACCATTCATCTGTCCCCAGTACAGAGTAAATTCCTTTAGGGCAGACACCATCCTTCTCATCCTCTGTGTTCTCAGCACCTACCATGAAGTAGATGCCCAGGTTACAGCAAGGTTCTAGGAGCCCCACATTCCTAGCTGTGCCCCCCAGGGAAACAGCAGCACTGTTTTAGGAGGTGAGTATGGTTCTGAGCCTACATAAGTCAATCTCACTGATCCAACAGAAAGCAAGCCAACTGGGAAGAGACAAAAATACCACCCAGTTGTGCTCCAGGACATAATCATCAAGTAGAAAATTCATGGGAGTGAGAACATGAAAATGCTGGCACGATGGAGGAAGTGACGTGTTTTGTCTTAGGGCAGACACTGTGGAGCATGGACCTGGTGGAGCTGAGGCAGGCCCTAATGATCTTCAGGCTTTGCTGACTCAGGGGGCTCTGCCTGGCACACGGCCTTCATTCACAAAATGCCCAGTGGCTGGGCCTGAGTTGGCCTTGTGCACTTCTGTGTTGCATACTTTCTAAAAATGTGACATCTCTTCATTCCCATTCAGGTGACTGACCTTTTGCAACACAGTCAATAAGAAAAAAAATTGCTAAATAACAACCTATTCTAAGAGTAGGATCAAGACCTGAAAAAATTGATAACTAAAAAAAATAACTTCAGATTATCCAGAAGACTTTAATTAGTACACTACTTTCATAGATTTTACAAGACTATTCTCACCCAAATGATGACCACTTGCCTTAATGTCATCAGGAGTTCTATGGGGTCCATAAAACATTGCTGGTGTTCCCTGGCACTGTTGGTATCAAGATCATTGGCTGACAGAATTTGCACTGGAAACAGACATGTTAATTAGTCTAATTAATTCAGTGGAGCAATTAATTATTTAACACATCTAATTAGTTAACACTTTCACCTGTCAGAGCCGGAGGTAAATGCCAGACTAGAATTTGGTAGTCTTCTTCATTATACCCTAAAAAATATTTAGAAATACAGCATGAAATAATAAATAAAAGTGTGACACTCTCCCACCCTGAGGTGGGTGGTGGGTATGTTGACTCTCAAAATTGCCAATGGTGGTAGAGAAAGGGAAGCAGGTAGAACTTTGAGGAGAACCATGAAGTTTTATTATAAACAAAAACTGGATCTACTCTCCCAAGTTACACAAGCAATGCAGAAGTTCAGACTTATTTTGCCTCAAAATTGTCATTACCTTGGAGATTTTGGAATACCTTAGGGCAAAATTACAAATGTCCATTTGGTAGTAGCAGTAGCAAGATTTAGAGTGCTGCATTAGTTCCCTGTTCTCTTTCCTTATCATTTTGTAAATTTTTAGCTAGCCAAGATGGACTGAAGGAGGCCAGCACAGAGTTCAAAGAGTTTGTTCAAAGTGACTATCACCAGGAAGAGGAGCATCTTCTAAAAGTTAAGATATAGGCATTTGATTCTTCACTGTGATGCACATTCTTACAGAGAAATTCATGCACATTATGAAATGCCTTGTATGCACTGCTGTTTGGGCGTCTGTGAACATTTTAAGCTCTGGTTTGCTTACAAGCCAGGAGACGAATGTTCTCAAAGCTCTTACCAGCATAGAACTTTAGCTCATTGCCATGAAAGCTGAGAAAAAAAAAGAGAGAAAAAAACAGGATAAAGTTCCTTTAAAGGCTTCTACATTCTTCCATCCCAAAAGCATACAGTAAGGAGCAGCAGAAAAACAGTGAATTTATGGATTTCTTAAAAGGGACTCTGTTTTCTGAAAACATTAGGCCTTATTTTGTTATTCTACTTGGATTGACCTCCAACAGCTGCTTGGATTGGATTTTATGGGCAGCCTAGGGTTTAGTGTAATGAAGCCCTGGGAAACAGATTTTGTTTAATTATCAGAGTTTCTGTGTGAATTGAATGGGCAGAGTTCAGATAAAGAGGCACTCTGAGGTCATGGCTTTTATGTTTTTCTTACTTGTGAACACAGAATGAAAACAAGTTGGTGAAGGGTAGGATGGAGCAGGAAAATAAAATGGAACCGAAAGTTCTCACATGTACTGGTCACATTTTTGAGACAACATGTGGTGGAGTTATTATGGAAACCAATGAGGGACTTGGATTTACATACAGTTGTCCCAAGAAAGTTGGTGTGCCATGCTAGACCCATGCTGGGACCAATGTCAGAGTGAGGGAAAGGTGCACACTGGTCAACAGTTAACAAACTAGCCAATCTGGTCAGAGAGATAGGATGCTACACCTTCGAGTGGCCCAATATTCTTAGGGAAGTGCTGCTTCAAGAGCTGATCTATAGTATAAAAGGCCATGTCAAGGAGGATATTTTTTGAATTGGTAAGGGAGTTTGAACGCTAAGAGTAAAGTTCCGTTACTGATTTTAGAAGAAGACATAGGTTTTAAGGGAGGGTGTTATGCTAACTTGAAGCTGAGCTATTATGATTGCCCTATAATTGAATAGCAACTGATTATATATTTATTTCCTGACATCAATTTAAGAGTGATTATCCACACAGTACAAAGTATGGCTTCAACTTTACCTACTTCCAATAAATCCATGGGATCTAACAGGAATACAT